AAGTTGTGCAAAATTTTTAATTTTTTTAAATATAGTAACAAACTATAAAACCTTTTTTTTACAAAAGCAATCTATTATTGCAACTATCTACATTTTGTTCAATTTTTGTCGAGAAAAAATTTAAAGTTGCCACTTTGAAAAAATCGCAAAATTCAAAAACAAAACAAAATTTTATTCTCAAACACGATCACATTGTTATAGCAGTTTAATTTTTATTCATTATAATTTTTGAAGGCACCTGAAAAAAAAACTTGGTTAAAAAAGGTTGGTTTCAAAGTCTTTGTTCACCTTGCTTAAAGAATCTTAAAATTTTCATTCCCTAACCACTGGAAATTATCACCAAATTCAGTTTTTTATTAGTGAAAAAAATACGTCATAAATGTTTAAAATGTAACTTATATTAATTACAGGGTGATTCAAATGAAATGATCTATCGGTTATTACGTCACTATATTCAATTTCTTTACCTACTGCATTTCGCTTTAATTCATTATTTAAATTTCAGTACAGAATAATTCAACGAGAAAGACCAGCCTCAAACATAGCCATGTTAAGTGAGTTATCCTGTACATCGAAAATATTTCTACAGTATTTTTAAATACATTCCTAATCATATTACTAAAATACAATTTGCCACAATTTAATAAATGCAATCACATACAGAGTGACTCATCAATGGTGGCCTATACATGAAACTTCTTTTGATTTTTAATAGAAAATTTAAATGTCAGTCATCTCATTTGATTCACCCTGGACATCAGAAATATTCTTGACTAAAATTACTTATCGAAATTTTAATTTTTTACAAAAAAATATAATAATCGAGTAGTATTGAAAAACATTAAAACAAATATGAAAAATACTATTTATTTCTATACAAAATGTGCCTCAGAAAAGTAACAAACTATTTCTACATATTTTTTTTTATTTTTCACAACGCCACTTTTAAACAAACAAAATTGAAATATACTTTTAACAGACTCGTCCTGAATGTTTTGGTACATATTTTTAAGCAGGTGCACACATTTTAATTGTTTCCTCACTTTAGTTGAAAAAAAAAGTTAAACTAAATGATCCAAAGAAGACGTTACAATACGGATTATAGAAGTTCTACTGTATTTTTTTATTATCCAACTGTAACTGATGGGAGATGAGCGTCGAATTTTCCTTTATTTTTCTTGTGAGTTTAATAAACAAATAATTTATGCAGACGAAAGTGGATAAAAATTTTGCAAATAAAATTGTATCACTGAGCAAACAAATTAGTTGTGTTTATCTTTTTAACAGTCCCTCGTATTTGCACAGTGTAATCCCGTATGCCTTGTGCGTTCTGCTGATTTTATCAGATTGTCATAAAATATTAGTCTCGCAGAATTGTTTCTGAGAACCGATTGGTCTTGAGCGACATTTGAGTACGACTCTTCATTAGCTAATTCTGCAGGAGCTTGCGGATTGAGCCGAGCTTTGAGAGCATTCCAAACACAATGAGTGCAGATTCACAGAACGATAATGACGTATATGCGAGGTGCTTGAATATGAAGATGAGGTTTTACAATCCAGGGACACGTTCCACATACTGTTCAGCATAAAAAGATGATAACCGCGAAGACGAGCAACTTTTTAGAACTTCATTATCGCGTAATGCGATATTTTGTAGTTTTTAGCACATTATCTACCGTTCCCATCACACTGTCTGTATTCTAATTTGAATTAAATCAAAATATTTTATAGTTGGTGGCACACCTGCGCGCGTGCGAGTTAAGTGAAAGTTACAAGATTTTTCGAACGCCTAATGAACATCGGAATTAAAAGGCGAAAAATCACCTTTTCGGGCCTAATTGGCCGGAAGTGGGCGCTCGCACAGGTAAAAATCCCAATTACACGCTTCACTTAGTACCGAGCTTTGAATTATTCATTCCGAGAAAAGACAAATGTTGGCCACTTTAACATTCTTGGGGCTAGGTATACCCAATCACTTGACTTTTGTTCGAAGAAGTCCTGGCGGTGGATAATCATTACATGGTTTTCACATTTAACCAATGGCTATTAGAATACTTAAAATTCCACAAATACCTTACTATTTCTGCATAAATATTTGCACAATGTTTTATTTGCCGCGGAGTATGACATTCATCCCATAGATCAAAAAATCGACCAAAAAAGAGAAAAAAGCAAATATAGGGTGTCTCAAGTTTTAGGGCCGGTGCAAAAATAAATATTTGTAATTAAATAAAACAAAATTGCTAGTGCAAACTTCAATTTGATACTTTAATATTGTGAAAAATTTTTAGCGTATGTCAGTGAGATCATAAAAATAAAATTTGGAAAAAAAAATTAATTAGAATCTTGTCTACATGATAAAATTGCTTGATTTTTTTTAACGGTAATTGTGAAAATTGAATAATGTAAAAGTTGATAAATTTTGAGTAATTAACATTTTGATATTGAAATATGCATTGACAATAGCGGACCTTTTTCTTTTGTCAAGAAATTCTGGCTTCATCACCAATTACCGCAAACCCCCCAAAATTATTCCACGCTTCAGGTTTTCAATATTAAAATGTTAATTATTCAAAACCTATCAATATTATCATTATTCAGTTTTCATATATATCACAGAAAAATCAAATAATTTTATCATGTAGAAAATATTCCAGTTAATTGAAATTTTTTTGCCATACGCTAAAAACTTTGTACAATATCAAAACATCAAAATAAAGTGTATTTAATCCTCTATCATTTAGAGTAGCAAATTTTTTGTTTTAATTAATTAGAAATATTTATTTTTGCGCCGGCCCTAAAACTTGGCACACCCTGTACAAAGTGAAACAAAATACGACTTGACACAAAAATTTCTCTCACTTATAAACATAATAAACCTGTCACTATTATCATATCGTTGGTCAAATAGTAAAACTTTTAATTGCACAGATTTATCTAAACAAATCGTCAAATTAAAAAGTAATAAAATTCGTTTCCGATGAGGAATTTTAAAACCGCCATTAAAATATAAAATCGGTTAAAAACAGTTATGCGCCACTTTTACAACGCCCATTTTGGTTTTTAATTTATGAAAATGTGTTCAAAAAATAAAAATAAAAACACAAAAAACGGAATTCTTTATTATACATGGTGCGCCAGAACTAGCGCCCCAAAGAAAAGTAAAGTAAGATACTAGGAACATGGAAAAAATGTTAAAAAAATCTATCTATAAAAATTTGGAAGTTATTAGAGTTTAAATTTTGTACTTTGACTCTATTGATTTCTGTTGGAAAAATAATTATCCAAGTTTTTTTGCTACAGGCTATTAGAAGAAGAAACAAGGAAGCTGTATCTTAAATTCTAACTCTGTTTAATATTATTTGTGGCTTTTATTAACAAAATTTTTGTACCTTTACTAAATAATTTTTTACTTTTTCGTCTTTTCGGACATCGATCGGTTTTTTAAATTTTATTTTGAAACAATGATTAAAAATAGTCAACCCAATTCTCAAATTAAATTATACAAGAAATGAAAACAAAAACAAAGTTATTATTTCATATTTGTTTATAAAAAAAATCTTAATAAATAACACTGAAATAAAAAAATTAAAAATCTTCTAAGTGACCTGTTTACTTTAAAATGAAGTTGGCAACATCGAAAAATATACAAACAAAAATTATGAGAAAACCTCAAAAAAATTCTGCTTATCTTTTTCTTTGAATAGTACCCAAATAGCATTATATTTTTCAACTTCTTGCTAATTTAAAGCACCACATTTTTAATTAAATTCCAAATTTAAATTGTCAATTTAGATGCAGAAGATTAAATTGTTGATCACAGTAGCCAATGCATTGTTGTCAGGTTGACAACTATGAATATTGACAGATTTCTCTACATTGTTCAGTGTTGCCAATTTAATTTCAAAACCAGAGGTCACTCTTTTTGCTCTAATAAGTAATTTAGATTTTAGGTTGCGTGATGAATGTAACACAGATGAAATTTTATTTCTGGTTAAATGGGCTCTATAATTGCACTCATTCCGGCTTTGCTAATGACCACTACTTAATCAATTATCAGCATAATGCAGGTGTTTAGCAATTTATAATATTCAAAGCCTGCACAAAACTAGTTCATTTGTCTCTCGGCCAGAAGTGAAAACAAACTGTTATCTAGTCAAAAAAAAATTAAAATTGAGTCATTTTAATCTGGATAAGCCAAAAAAAAATTATTGGTGTGATTTTTGACATCAATTAATCACTATTAAAAGGTTAAAATCCTATTTAAAAATCGGACCAAATACGCAATTATGACAAAATGTACTTTTCCTGAATTAACATATTTAGTAACCTTGCAATTATCAATTAATTACATGTCTGTAATTGTATAATTAAATTTTAAATGAAATTATGTTGATCGATTATTTTAGCACCAGAATTCGTCAAAAATAAGTTTATTTTTTCCTCGGCAATCAATCTTACAAGTCAGAACGATATAATAAAATTAATTAAGTCATTTTATCTTAAAAATGTTGAAAACAACAATTACTGGAAATTCATACACAATTTGGTCTTTTGGGCAATAAACGGCATCATTTATTTGGAGGGTCCGACTCAGACTAGTCGGAAGCTTAATAAAGATAAAGAATAGGAGATATTGAAAGTTATTAAGGAAGCGGTTTGAACATTTTGAGACATGTAATCCAATGAAAAAAGCAATAAGTAAATGAAAGATACTTATCGCTCGTTGCAATTAAATGTACAAAAATAGAGCGATGATTGAATCGAATCATTTTTCCGTCTGAAACCCAAGTGCTAAAAGTTCACACCATTTGATATTATGTCCGACACTTATCGCAAAAACGTGATACAAGTGTCTGAGGTTATATTTTACCATGCAGTTTTTTGGCTCCTAGGTCATGCAATGACCATTAAAAGGATTTTTAACACAATGGAAATAGTTTCGACGACTGACAACCTTTGTGGTCTCTTCTAATAAAAGAAAAAATAGAAAAACTTACGCAATTGGCCCATTGCATCCGTCAAACTGCTAATTCCTAGCACAATCACGAAACTGGCCAGCCGGATGAACCGTAGTCTCTTCTCCATTCCTGAAAAAAATTCTTTCATTAGCTATTTCACTATTAGAAATTTTAAAACTATCCAACTAATAAATAAAAAATCAACTTTTGTTTTAAATGTAAATTTAAATAAAAAAAAAACAAAACAGTTGCTTTAATTAAAAAAAAAATACTAGAAAACTGACAATGATATTGTAAAAATCAGTTTTTGTATATTTTCTAACTGTTTTAATTACCATAACGAGTCTTTGACATTAACTATTTACATGAAATTTGTAAATTCTGACGACAATTTTTAAAATTTTGTCCAATAAAATTTCAAATAAAATTTCAAATAAAATTTCGAAATGACACTGATGTCTACTTTTTTCTTACCCTAGTAGTGTCAGTTAATAAAGTGTCAAAAATATATGTTTTGTTATATCAAAAAATGATATTCAATGTCTAAAAAAGTATTACGTTTAAATTTCATAATCAAGGTTGCCAAATTAAAATTTCTTTGTTGCTAATTTTAAAAATCACAATTATTTACAGTGCCTGGTAAGCCTTATACAAAAAAATGTTCATCAAAATAGCCTGTTAAATTGGCAACATTAAAGAATAAAAAAAACAATATATCTTTTAACGGTTTTTAAGCGGCCATTAGTGACGATAACTGTGTCTTAAAATGTAAAGATAGACGTTTCAATTAAAAAAAATTGAAAACCACAGTTGCCAAATTAAAATTAAAATTTGGTTGCCAACTATAATAATCACGATTACCGAATAAAATTTATAGGAAACAAAAAATCATCATCAAAATTAGGTTAATTATAATAATAAGATAGCAATTCCTTCTAAGTTCTAACAGTTGCAAGCGGCTGTCAAGGTTGCCAACCAAGAATTCCAAATTAAAATTTAAAATTGGTAGCCAACAGAAAAAATCACAATTATTTAGTCACTCAGTGGAATTAATAAAAAACAAAAAATCTTTTTCAAAATTAGTTGGCAATATTAAGTACCTAATATGAGATGGTAATACCTTTTAACGGTTGTATACGACCATCAATGATTCTAACGTTTAATGCCTCTAAAAGTGTAAAGTTTGTTCTTTGAGTGATAATTAAGCTTACCAAATTAAAATTTTTGAATTGCTTTTAGACTCACCAGATAAATAAATAATAAAAAACTAAATTAATTTTTTTATTAAAGTGGTCTATAATTCTAAAATTAAGTTAACAATAATTAAGTTGCCAAATTAAAATTTTAAAATTACTGCCAACTTATGACAAAAATCAAGACCATTTAAAGCCACCAGCAGATAATACAATTATAATAATTAAAGTGTTCTATGCCTAAATTAAATTGGCAACAATGAATAATGCAGAGGAAGCAACATCGTCTAACCTCTCTGTCAATTGCCAATAACAGTAAATTTAATAGTCTAAGTTGCCAAATTAAATTTCAAATTTGCTGCCAACTTAAAAGAAAGAATTTAAAATACAATTTTGAATGTTTTCTTTACTAGTGAATAATGAGTGTAGATGTGTTTCTTGACGGTTAAGAACAGTAAAATGAGGCAAAACCGCCACAAATACAACATAAACCTGATTATTATAAATATTAATAGTCGGTTTTTGGGTCTGTTAGGTTTTATAGAGTACAGAGGTAAATATTTGAATTTTAGGTCGATGATAACTTTTACGATCTGTTAAAGTGCTATAACTGTATAACTTTGCACGCTTCAACAATACGAAAAAGAAATTAGCTAAACAGCGATCGATTTAATCAGCGTTTAGTTGATGGATTAAACCTGAGCCTTGGAAAAAACGAATAAATCATGACAGAGTGAGGAGTTGAAAAGTAACGTATCTGGATAGTTGCGTAATGCATCTAGCACGGAGTGATTTATATTACCCGGTTTAATTATGACTTTGTACTGAGAGTTTGTTCAAATCTATCCATCGTTGTAATCCGATTCACGGACGCGAGTCAACGTTTCGAGACGGCGCGCCGACGTCTTCAGTTCTTCCTGATTTTCGCAAAGTGTTAATAAAGATGTACAACATGTTTATTGGATTTCTTTGCAGACTAAATTATAGCCTCACGTTACACATACAATTTTGTAACTTTGCGCAATTCTAGTCATAACACTTTGCTTCAATAAACACAGCCGATGTGTGATGAGAAAATTACCAACTAAAAGCGTCTTTCGGACCAGTAAAAGCAAGGGTAAGAAGCTTGATCCTTGTATCTGTTTCGGATAATTGTGTGGAAAAAATTAGAGATTGCCAACCTTCGGATGAAAGTCGAAAATCGTGAGGCTTATTAGAAATTTGCCAACACCGAACCAGTTCTTGCGTAAGGTGCGTGCAAAATTAAACTTCGTTTTCTAATTCCGTCAAAAGCCACATCCGAAAACCATTAAATTGGTTTTTGAAACTAAGAAATTTTTGATGAAAAATAGAGAACAAAGAAAGTTTGTATTTTTAGCAATCTGATAAAATCGCGTTAATTCGTCCACATATTCATATTTTTAGCGCAAAATTTTAATGGGGCGGCTGGTAAATGGGGCGTTTAGAGACGTAATGAAACAAATCTTGTCATTTTTATTCGTATATTTCAGGTGAGCACAAAATCTGCAGTTCAATTAATGAGCTACACATGTGTGATAATTGAATTAAATTACATGAAAAAATGAAATAAGTGGACTTTTGCAAGCCTTCATTAATTTTCTCCTACAAGAAATATAATCTGCCACACCCTTTAACAATTTAAATTGCAGTAAATAACACATTTTACCGGCAATGACTGCACACAATCTCATTCTTTGTTCTCGAAAATTCACACCGATTCATCTTGTTTCGATTAAAAATTTGTCTGCGTCCAAACAACATAAACATTTTACTGAAAAGAGTCGCTTTTAGCCCCACACCCACGCAATTTCAGGAAAGCACTCGCGACTGTTTACGTCAAAACAAATAGCGATAATCCTGCTTTAGTACTTGACAAAGTTATTGTGTAAGTTGGGTTGCCGAAGTTCGGGCTTTTCCTGAAAAAGTTTCGCCAAGGAACCGACTAGCTTTGAGCGACATTTTATTTATGATTTTGAAAATAAACTAAAATCGCTCACGGACATATCTGTGAATATGTTGAAAGATTAGACTCAAGTCTCGACACGCAATGCGATAATTAATTGGATTTGATACGACTCGGAATTATGAATTAACTCAAGAAAATACAACCGATTTATTATTATTTACAAATCCGGACAAATAAGAATATTCAATTTCGGATTACCAATGAACCGATAAATAAAAGGACTTTCAAACAGTCGTAATGAAATTTGCATAAGAAAGTCTCTCAATAAGTTTTTGCTAAAGAAAAATTACAATGGGGCTCCTACGCATCTCTATGAAATGAAATCCGGGCAATAAAATGTGAGGCAGGACAAGGACAATAAAAAATTATTCCGGGCAAAAATGCAAGTTGTTTACGTATCGAATTATATAAAAGTGAGCCTGTTTCTAATGTAAAGGATTCTGACCTGACCTGAATTAATCAAAGCAGCTTCAAGATTAGATTGGTCAGATGCCGTGACCCTTCAGCAATTTTATTGTCAATTTATCATTACACGGATTAATGCCCTATGCAAACAAATAGTCGAATCGCGGGAAAACTGTTTTCGCGAATTTCCCGATTTTCCAAAAGTGCAACACGCTGCAAAAATAAACAACGAGTTTTAAACACTTCTCAAGTGAGAATTTATTTTCCAATGTCAGGCATGGAAAAGCCGGAAACTCACTGGACAGATGGGAGGATTATCCGCGGAGAAAGTCCAGGCGCTGAAAAATTGCAACTTCTGAAACGCTGAAAGAACACGCGATTGTCAAACCACCACCACTTTCATCATGCCAACCTACTCACTGCGATTGAACGTTCAACACTGGTCTCTGCGTCTGCTTCTGCCAGTGAATTTGTTACATTCTATCGTATCCCTTCCATCTCTCCAAGGATTTCATGTATAATTTCCATGTACTCCAAGGATTTCTCCAAATGTTTACATGCCAGTTCTGGATTATGGAAATCCGGGCTTTCCACTGACAGGACTTTTATTTAAAGCTTCGCCTAATCCAGCGACTCGAAAATAAATAAGCTCACTCCCGACCTGTTGCACGTCAATTTCGGCCACCTCCAGGTAAAATTCCAGGTGTGGGGTGACTCCAGTTTCACTCGAAAATATTCGGAATGAATTCCACCTCTTGACCTTCTTGCGTAATGAGCATTCATGTCGCGAGTGCTGTCTTTGCAACTCGAAAAAAATATCAATCAATCGGACCTAAATAATAACATACAAATTTTATGCCAACCATTTAATAACAATAATTAATTTTAAATTAACAAATTTGCGCAGTTTGTTTTGATAAATCGGTTTTATCGCACGATTTTTGCACAAATTGTGATAATTATCCCGTTTTATGTCTATTATTTGGCCGTGACACGGTTTAAGGCCCCAAAAGCGTGTTTTCAGAAGTGGAAAATCTGTTTACTGCCTTTCATTTCTTGTATTCTTTTTAAACCACAAAGACAACATTAATAGAGGCATACACGGCCTAAGCAAACATTTTGAGAGAAAGACTTTCATCAATCTCAAACAAGCTTCAGAACCTGAACTAAAAGCACTTATCCCTGATTTATATTCTGCTGAGTTAACGTAGAGGTTTCCATTTCGACTCCAAGGTAGAAAATAACTTTTTTTTCAATCTAGCTCTGTGAAAATTAAATCAAGTTTTCATGTCTAATTGACATTAATGAGAAACAGCGCAGTCCACAAAGGAAAATGCTCACAGCATTGCAAAAATATGTGAAATGAGCTAATAAACATCAATGAAAAATGATTGACGCTAGTGATGTAGAACTTGTTTTCTTCTAAATAAGGACAATAATTTAGAAAAGTTGTGTGTCTTCCAGGGAGTAGAATATCTCAATGCTGAATAAGTTATATTAATTAAGACGTGGTTGGAATTTTATTATCAAATTTTGCAAGAGAATCTAATTTAAAAGTTCACGATGAGCATAGACTTATAATAAAGTAAATAACAAAGAGATATTAAATCGAAAAAGTCCAATTACTTGCTTCGTGAAGAAGCTAATGTATATTTTACCATTATTTGTTATTCATGTGATCACTTAAATGCAGTACCGTCATTACAAGTATCATAATAATAAATTCAGAATGTAGGTAATCACAAATAGCATCGTACTGTAATGATGGATATGTTGAAGTCGCTTGCTTATTATTTCCTACTGGTTGCATTATATTTGAAAAGGTATTGTTAGGAAATAAATGTGAAGAATTGAATCTTGATTATATTAATCCAATTATCTGAATTCTTTTCATGGGAATGCTGATGGGATTATGTTAAATAACTACACATTTTCTATTTTCATGGTTGATTATTGAAATTGTTTGTATAATTCTTTGTTATTATTATTACTTTTGCAGAGCTGAAATGTCAGCTTATTACGAGTATTTGTTGATCATAGACAAAAGTAAAAAGAGTAAAGTAAAATAAGAAATATCTCATCTCAGAACTGTAAATTTTTTTTCTTTCAAGAGTTATAATAGATAATCTTATTAAAATTTCTTAGTTCTTATAAAGAATTATACGTAAATCTGCTTGAACTTTTTAATTTTTTGTGCTTTGAGAAAAATTATATTCCAAATGTGGTACTAAAACCAGACAAACACATAACACTGACTTTGAAATAAACTACATTTCATTTTCAGAAAACCTGTACTGAAAAAATATTTTCACTTTCAACTAATATTACTGCATACATATTAATATTTAGTGAAAATATGAAACAAATCAAAAATCTTGCCAAACCTAATAATTTGTCAAAAACTAATGTTTCACCATAAAACTAATAGAGAATATTTATGATTAAAGAAAATAAGTGTCAACTAAGAATTTTTCGGTCAGTCCTCTTAAATAAATGAAAACTTCAGTAACACAATAATCATAGATTTTTCTTTTCTTTTACAAAATTACACATCTAGTTGGTACAAAATACAATTCTATTTTCAAGCTTAATTATAAATCGTATTAGAAAAAAAAATTGTAAATCTTAAAAACGCAAAACTTTATTGTAAAAATTAAAAAAAAAAATATGAACTATTTTTTTTTTCTCATTTAGCAAGAATTTCTTTCTGAAAAAGTGTTTTTCAGCATTTTGTAAAAAAATACTCCTGGAGAATTTCAGTACTCATGGAGTGTAAATTTTTTTCTAAATTTTTATTTATTTTTAAAAGTTATAATCTTCTTAACACAAATATTATCGAAAGCAGTCTTCTTAGCTCGGATATCTTGTACAACTTTCAACAGTAAATAAAAAGTAAGCAAAAACTTGTTAATATTAAAAAAAACATTTCAAAGGAAAAACATCTAGGAAACAATTTTAAAAATTAATTTTGCCTTTTAAACAAACAAAAGTGTCATCAATTTTTCAAATATTTCATTATTTATAACATAATTTTTTATTCACTCCTAGAACACGATTTTAGTTCCACAGATGTCTAAATAAGTCAAAAAACCCCATTATTTTAAACTTAAAAATGTATGTTTCAAGAAACACTGCATTGAGACAATTCGTTCAAACTTTCCAGTTTCAAGCGATTTAACTTTTAACAAACCCATTTTATTTTTACGTGGCGTTCAATTAAACTCTTGATCAAAGTGGCCTGTGACTTTGAAATTAAGTTGACAACACTGAATTGGCAATGTAATATGAGATATTAAGAAACCTCAATTTCTATAATCTCTGCAAATGATTATGACACGAAAATCTATTGGCAACACTGAATTATGAGTGATATTAGACTGTTTCATGTGACGCTTAAAAATGTAATAGTCAATGTTGCCAAAGTAAGATTTCAGTTTTGCCTACTCAATAACACAGTTCACAATCATTTACAGCCACGCGGATGGCAGTGTTGCCACCTTAATTACTTCATTTCTAAATCAGAGCCAACTTTAATCAAAAACTTAGATAGTTATTAAAATAAAACCAAAATAAATTTATTTGCAAAGCCCTTGATATATCTACACACTTCTAATTAACACAAGAGTACCTTTAAAAAAAACAAAACAAAATATACATTAAAAAATATACACTGTTTCTTTTAGTATACACTAAAAAAACAAAACCAAATATACAGGGAGCCCCAAAAAATTGTGCTCAAACGTGTTGCTAAACTAAGTATGTATGTTATGTAAAGTCTCAACAAATATATTAATTTCTCATTGCTTTTAAAAATGTAGGTTTTGAAATATAAAAAATAGTGCGCCAGAACTCGAGCCCCATAGAAAAATGCCATTAAGGCAGGAACGTGGAAAAAAGTTATAAAATTCTATCTATAAAAATTTCGAAGTTATGAGAGTTTAAATTTTGTACTTTGTCTACTCATTAGAAGAAGGCTATTAGAAGAAAAAACAAGGAAGCTGTAACCTAAATTGCAACTTTGTTAAATGTTATTTGTAGCTTTTATTGCCAAATTTTTTGTACAGTGAGGGACACGGAAAACTGGGCAGATGTGTCATTCAGTTGTCAAAATTTCTAAACCATACCTTAGGTACTCATAACCAAGCTTTTAATGTTTGGCATATTTGTTTTTTTGACACTTACAAAGTCAAAGTTTTTGGAATCCTCAAAGTCACCGAGACTTGCCGCTGCGACATCCCGCTTTGAATAAGAGCTGTTGCTCGGGATTTATTAAAAACTGATACAACTATAGCATTTTGCAAAAATTGATTTATGTTAACGTTAAATTGACCATTTTTTTAATATCATTCATAATGACAGTAAAGGTGCATTTGCATTGACATTTTTTGAAATGACAAGAAAAGACTGCCCAGGATTCCGTGTCTCCAACTGTACCTTTACTAAATAATTATAAAAAAAACATATACAAGATCATCAGTACCATTAAATAGACATAACAAATGTCAAATGTCAAATTTTTTTCCATGTTCTTGGAATCTTATCTTACGTGAAATTTTTCTCTGGAACGCGAGTTTTGACACACCCTGTGTATTTTGGCTATATCTATAGACGACAGAACAATTAGGAATTAAACAGTGTATCGCAATCTTGTTAACAAGTAAAGTTTGAATAGGTTGGCCGTTTGGCAAGCGACATAAGATTTTCCATCAATTTTTTCATCGGGCTTTCAGCTAGCAGCCAGCATTATGATAGGACGAGTAAGGCGGCAGGTTTTTGCAGTGTTTCATGAGGCAGTCACATTTTTCAGTAAAACGAACGCATGTGTGTGATAATAGCGCGTGTCTGGATTGCAGAAAATAGCGCGCGAGCAGCCTTCTCCTCTAAACAATTAAATCACTAATCATGTAATCTATAGTCATTAGGGATGACTTTTCCACCGCAAGAAGTAAACGCTGGCGCCGGTGAGAGTATGTGCACACATCGCCGCAAAAGCACATCCTCACTCAGCTAAACAAAGATGCAATAAGAAAACAGGAGTCGAGATAAAATCTCAAATGTCCTGTTAACTGGGGATTAAATTTTTACGAACCGTAAACGCTTACTGATATAATACTCTTATTTTAGTCCGCTAACGCCCGTCTATCAGCAGCCGAATAAAAAATTTCCTCGTGGAAGAGGAAACGATTAAATTTTCTTAAACGGGTATTAGCGAAACACGGGGACGGAGAACGCGTAAAGAAATAAACACAAATAAAACTATAAGTTGTTAAGTGATTCTCGGAGAAGCAATAAATTTACTGCAAACAAGAAGATGTATGTGAAGCTATTTTCTCTGGCATTTTTGCACGACTTATCGGAAAAAATCACAATTCGATTCCTTCTGCATGACCTAAATCGTTTACGCGTCACTTTACTCGGAAGATTCTAATTGTCACA